ATGGCTATTTGCATAAATCTATATATTCACGTGGTTATAAATTATTAATATTGTTTATAATGTATAATAATAGTAAATAATATTCACACAAATAAGTAAGCATAATAAATGTAATATAACTTTTATAACAACGTGAAAAGAGATGTAGATATGCAAATGCGCTCAGACTATTTTTACGTTCGATCAATTACAGATGCCACCGATGCCATATATCGTACGATAAAAAGTTGGACATTTATTCGCCTTATATATAATTCTGTGCAGCCTGTACGACGTAAACGTTGCACAAAGAAGTGAAAATTTTGCCGTTTTCGAGTATGGCATACCTTTTATTCATATAATCACGGAGTTCACTTCAAGTGTACCATTTGATGCACGATAACAGAATTACGCCGATATAATTTTTGTATTTTGCGATAACAGCTAAATAAAAAGCGAGAGGAATTCGATCGTTCGTGCATGCATGCGAAGCGCGTTTCATAGGGGAATAACATGACGCGTGATTCAACGATCGAATGCCATTTCGGGGCAATCGATTCGCCGGGATTAATTGAGATCGCTCTCGGTGAGTTGCCGGATAAAAAGCCGCGAGCATAATGCGCTTTGCGCCGAAGGAAATCGTACATATATTCGTACACACACACACACACACACACACATCTATATATGTGTATGCGCTATACCGTACCTGGTTTCCAAACCTTTATGTGGCGCGTTGTGACGTATACCACAGCACATCTAGAAAATTCCACAAAATTCGCTCGGCTGTGCAGCGATTCTCGCGAGATGCATTCATTCATGAGGAGATACGGCTGATGAATTATCGCTCAATTTGCAAATTCATATTGGACAAAAGTTTATGGAATTTACATAGTTAGCCACCTTTATGTGTACTTGTTATTAGAACATTGGATTCTGTTCGTGTAACAGCGCAGACACGTAAAAAAAACGCAACCGGACAATGTGTCACGAAAATTAATCGCCTCTGTTTTGTCAATTTCGCATCATGAAGCGAAAATACAAATTGTAGATCGCTATTAATTATTATAATTTGCAATTTTTAATTAACTCACTACGCACAGTTTGCGAATTCTCGCTCTCTAAATTCAAGTGGAAATACATATTACAATTAAAAATACTCTATTAGCTACGATTTCAGACAGTTTACATCAGAAGTTAAGCCAAGAAAACACTGTTTATTTTCCTTTGAGGTACCGTCAAATCATAAATTTGGAATGCACGTCATTTGGAAACGGACAAGATAAATTTTATTAACGCGTAAAAACCGGAAGCATAAGTGGATAATGTATTTGATTGGAAAGGGTAATCTCATCGAGGAATCGTTCGTCAAACGAAATTTAGGCAAGGTTAGGAGACGTTGAAAATCAGTTTTCCTAATCAACTTTAACCCGTATGTTTGACTCGTACCTTAATGACGTTTAATTAAAATAAATTATCAAGAGCAAGAATGTTGCGCATCAATTTATCGTATAGAGCGAGAGTTTATAAAGTTCAGACATTTCAAAATAAATATGAGATAAAATATTCTGAAATATCCGCAAAATTCTATAAATAAAGCTCGAAATGCGAATACGAAATTAAATGATTAAGTCGGTCGAATTAGTATCTAACTTACGTTACATACATACAGTGTGAGTTATTTAACTTTAGAAGCCTAAATAAATAAAGCAAAGTAGAAAGAAATATTCCGGACAAAAGTCCTAACGATAACTGAACATCTGTAGATTAATCATCTTTTTCGCCTTTTTCATACGGATCATCGAGCCTCGGTATTTCGTGGCAGCCATAAAGCAAAGCACACTCGAGCGCGAATATTTTTATAATTTCCTATCGTTTATTTTCTTTTGTTTAAAAAGAATTACAGCTTATAAATAAAATATGTATTATTAAGCGTACGAAGTTTGAATCGCTCGTATAGTTTTCACGAAAAAAATTCACAAAAATAGCTTATTTTCTAAGCCTCTACAAACGGTACTTAAATAATTCTTGAATAAATGACTATTTGTGTGTAGCATCATGGTAATAATCTGCTTTGTGTTATTTCTCAAGATTCTCTTTATCGATCATTTAAGTTCGATGGAATTTACAGGATCGGAAAAATTTCGAAACTTGGTTTGGTATACAAACTTCTCTCATATAAAACTATTATCTGCGGACGTATGCGTTGGCAATTTGGCTTCGCCAAAGACAGCCGTCGTGGCTGAAGGTGTGGGTCGTATCCTCGGACCTGCACTTTGGCAAATTGAAAAAGCCATAGCGACCGAATGCTCTTTTTTTCTCGGCGAAGACGGGTTGTAGATTCTCGAGAGGCGCACTACATCTCGACGGGAATGCTTTTTGCCGTGGTCGACCACATCGGCCACCACTCGACAGAGATGCTTCTTAAAATAGATTCCAGTGCTGACTAGAGATTAGTTCAGATACATTCGTGTATACACACACCATATACAGGGTGAGTTGGTTAAAATATTACAAATTTATATCTCGGAAACAAACATTTTAGAAAAAAATGTTTCATACAAAAGTGACTTCGAGGAGGGCATAAGATGGAGTCATTGGGTTGACCTTGGATAGTTGTTTGAAGATGAACATGAAGGTGTCATCTTCAGTTTCTTAAATGGAAATCCACATTTTCCATTACATATTATTGTATTACTTACTTTGAGAGCTTTTTAAAACATTATAATGAAATACTTATTCATTAAGTACTTTTCAAATTATAAGACTTGAAAGTTATTTGTTGCACTTTAAACCAGAGGTGATAGTCAGATAAGACTCTCCGGATTAGACATAGAGGGCACGCTTTTCCTGCCTTTTATTCGTATTGCTCCTTACACGAAAAGCCGTTCTGTCGGAAGAACACGTTTATCGTGAAGCGAGCACTGAGAATCACAATACTTGCACAAACAAGGTGAACCGGATACCACGCCTCTATATTTTCCTGTTCTGCTTTTTTTTACTTTTGTTTGTCACGTGCAATCGCAGGCTCGTGATGCCGAGAATTAGTACGCCACTGAGCGTCGCCGCATTCTAATCAACGCGATAGAATTCCCGACAATGTTTTCCTCCTATCGAACTGTATAACGGCCTGACAGACGGGCCACGATTGGTTGTACGGGAAAACGGCGTGGCGGAAATTGCATTACTTTCGATTATTGCCTGGGGAAACAAAACGCGAGTGCATGCTTCGATAAAATCGAGGCGCAAGGAAAAACAAAAATTACGGGAGTACGAGGGTGGTCCCTGAAGTACCCGACCCAACAAAGAAAACATAAAAATTTTGGAAAAAAATGTATTTATTTTTCAACATAATCTCCTTTCAGCTCTATACACTTTTCCCAACGATGTTCAATAAGTTCGATACCCTTTTTATAATAAGAACTGTCTTGCTCCTCAAAATAGCCATTAACTGCCGACATCACTTCTTCATCATTGGAAAATCTTTGACCACTGAGCTATTTTTTCAAGTTTGGGAACAGAAAATAATCCGAGGGGGCGTTTGTTGCTGTGAAACTTCGCTAAACACTCAATTGAAACATCTTCACGACACTGTTTTTGCTCGAGTGTGAGCAAACGCGGCACCCATCTTGCACACAGCTTTCTCATGTCCAAATTTTCAGATAATATGCGATGTACCGCACTTTTTGAAATGCCTACTATGTCTGCTAGTTCGCGCACTTTCAGTCGACGATCATCCAGTACCGCTTTGTGGATTTTCTTCACCATTTCTGGAGTCGTCATCTCATTTGGTCGACCATTGCGATGCTCGTCTTGGCAGCTCGTACGGCCTCGTTTAAACTCTGCTACCCAATATTTTACTGTTGTAAACGAAGGAGCAGACTCACCCAGAGTAGAATCCAGTTCAGCTTTTATATTGGTTGGGCTGAGGCCTTTCAAATAAAAGTATTGTATCACATAACGATGACCAATTTTCTCCATTTTCACAAATTCACTGAAAACGTTCACTATTGATGGCTGCCAAACAAATACTAAACAACGTGGCGTCTTCAAACTTGAAACATATGCTTTATAGATTGTGTACTTTCTAATACAGTGATATTTTTCAAACAACTACCGCCATCTCTAGGTCAGGTCGGGTACTTCAGGGACCACCCTCGTATAATGCACGATTTATAATTGACGACGGAATAAAATTTGCCAAGTGACCGGTCGACGGATAACGAAATTTGATTTCGGTTCGTTCCTACGATCATCCCCCGTCATTGAAGATCGAATAATTTTCTAAATCTGAGACATCAGATACAGGGTGTCTGCATGCGGATTTGATCAGACAAGTTCTTTCCTATTTTCCCAATAGTCACGAAGGAAGTAAATGAAGTATATCAGCTGAAGCATAAGAATGCCCAAGAAAATAGGTTACACTCTACGGTAGATACGGTATCGCGAATCTGTTGATAATGGCATTCCGGCAACGACGGCAGCTCGTGAAGCTTAACCGTGGTAGAGTCTCTAGAAGTAAGAGTTTGGACGATCTGGTCAGATGTTTTATTCGCTCCGGACTGCTCAAAATCGACGCTGCACAAATCGATGCTGTCATACTTCAATAATATCACTAATATATGAAAAGAACCAATCATTTAGCCAGTATATAATTTTTAACAAAATTCGAAGCATTATTAGAGCTATTCATCGGTGAAAAAAGTTACAATGTCACTTATCTACAATACTATATATATATATATATATAATAAGAATATGCTTTAAATTTATATATATATATATATATATATAAATTTATAACTGTATAACGGCCTTACGTTATTACGTCTTTAAATTTATATATATATATATATATATATATAAATTTAAAGCATATTCTTATTTGTTTATATCGTAAGAACACTTATCTACGCATTAGTGATGTTTCAACAGAAATCGCCAAGAAACCGAAATCATTTTGTTCGGTTTATTAAAAAGTTGAACTTAAGAAAGCATACTTCCGAAATTGACCTTCGGAAATGACTGCCCTCTTGGAAACGAAGTAGACGAACCATTCTTTTTTGACGGGTAGTGTTATACCGAGTGGATGGTAGTGAAAGAGAGATATTTGCATCCTTTGTTTCAGGGAAGGCGAGGGTGGCGGCGGTGGTGGCGGTGGCCGTTCCGTGACCGGCGCTGGGGGCGGTGGAGGAGGAGGCGGCGGTCGACGGGCGCCGAGCCTACGGCTGGTGAACGGAAGGGCGACCACGGGCGTGAGTTTGCACACCAGCAGTACCGAATCTGTACGTTCTCCCCATCATCATCTCGGTCAGCAGCAGACTGTCGGCAATAACAACTGCACGCAACAACACGCCGGTAATAACCCCGCCGCGAACAATCACCCGAGGCTCAACAAAGATGACAGCATTAAGATCAGCATCGAGAACACCAACACTTGTACAGATAGCCTTGTCACTGCTCTAGACGACGAGACTCTTCTCATCACTGATTTCCTGGGCGATACAGGTGAGGTGTATAGTTAAGTGCCAAGAGGCATTGTATCAATTTGCGCTTCTAGTTGGCCCGGAAAACAAATTAGCAGAACAAAACTGATTAATCGATTCTATGGAAAAAATTACGCAAAAAACATACTTTTCCTCGTAGCAAAAAATAAACATTATGGTTTATCGGAGGATGCTTTTTACGGTGGATAACGATTAAAATAAAAAGGAATGTACCGATATCAGTTAGCGCTGACCTCACATTTTCGTGTTACAGGCAACGAAATGAATTACAAGGGTAGCGGAAAGGTCCACTTCGGAGTGGACGATGTGTCTCTCTATGGGACCCCGAAAGAGGAGCCTGGTCCGGGCCTGCCGGGTCAGGAGGTCAAACAGAGCTTCCTGAAAAATCAGCTTCAGGCCTTGTTCCAACCGACGGACAACAAGCTTGCTATGAAGCTTTTCGGCAGCAAGAAGGCGCTCATGAAGGAACGGATCAGACAAAAAGCCGCAGGTCACTGGGTCATCCATCCTTGCTCCAGTTTTCGGTGAGTCCTTTGGTCATCGGTTGGTTTCATTCAACAAGTCGCATTAATATTTCGCGGAAAATACGTCGTATAGAAATATTCACGTTCATGCAGCCTTCTGTAAGATTTATATAGTAGCTTCCCTAAACAAGGCTTCTTCTTCAAAGTTGAAGCAGTGAATGGGTTCCAAAGGGACGTGCTCGATTTACTTGTTATTACGTCGATATCTCGATTGGATTCTCGAGTACGAATTTCGATGCTACAAATGATGAACTTTACCCGGTTTCTAGTTTTATGACCTTTTCGAAGGCGTCTGGCGGAGCAGACGGTCATTTGCTAATACTCGGGAGCACGGGATTCGTCCTTGAACCATATTTTACTGTCGCGTTTCAATTTCCCATTGTGCCCGGCGCCCTTGATCGCAAAGACTTTTTCGTCGATGCGGAGGGGAAAGTTAAACGGTTGAAGCGCGAACGGTGCCTCATTGGGGTATCAAATGGCTGATATTAACCGTGCATGGCACGTCGGCGCGCTGTTCTGTTAGTACGCGAAACACTATACCCGACTACGACGGCGTTTGTCGTTTCAATTGGTTGAAATTGCCCCGGCGCTTCCGCTCGGAATCTTGGCTAATTACCGCGCGCAGCGTGCCGCGGAAAACATCGGTTAACCGCGATATCTTTTACGGTCCTGCGACTCTAGGTCGAAGGAATTGTGCGAAACTTCTGTCCACGTTTATACATTTTCCCCTCGAAACTTTCTGCATACTTTGATAATCAGTTGCGACGAAGGATATTGTCGACGGAATTTCCGGAATATAACTTGATGGATGAGGCTTGGTCATAAAAATATGTCTCCTTCATATACATACGTGCGCGCGAATTCCTGTTAACGCGAGACGTCATAAAATCGTAGCCGCAAGCTATTCGACTTTCCTCTTTCTTGCATCGTTTAATTGTACAAAAAGTCATAAATATGAAATCAGAAAACGTTCTTTTTCTGCTTGATTTATCAACGTTATAGCGGTCGAATGATTTATCAAGTGTACCACACTGAGCGTTCCCATTTTTTAAAAAAAGAAGAAATTTATATTTTATCACATGCGAGCCATCTCTCGCGAAACTTTCGATCTCCGTGCTATCATTTCAAAGTAAATTTTTTACCGAATAAAGGACATTGTCCGTTTTGAAGATGAGCAGAAAACATTGAAGGAAGTATAATATTTTCTAAATTTGTGAAATCTCACTCGGAAAGTAAAGTCAATCGACTGATCTCGTATTTTTCCATTCTGAGTCGTCAAGTAAATATTTTTACTCAAAATTCAAGAGTGAATTTCATGTATTGCAATTCTATGCCATAAGGCAAATTTGATCATTTCCAGTCATTTTTGTACATCATGACTGTTGCTTTAGAGCATCACTACTGATTATTAAACAGTCAAGATGTACAAATATTCGGATACAATGCGTTTGATTTTTGATTGATCACTATATTTAGGAAATAGTACTGCATTGATCGAATTTTCTGTTCTCCATCGTCACAGGCGAGGCATATTCACTCCAATTAGTTAGAATATTCGCTCATATGGAAAATTCATTCTGAGTTTGAATGAAATATTCACTCTTACAATTTCGAGAGTTTTTGGTTCGAGTTAAATGAGATTCTCAAGACTCCAAGAAGAAAATAATCGAGTAAAATGCTTTTGCGTGGCGATTAGTGTAAATGCTTAAAATCACTGTCGGACAGAGTGCCCGCCATTCGGTACAAAAGAGCGAAAGTAGTAGCTTGAATTGTGTGTCTGAAATACACACTTAAAACGTTGTAGCTCATCGCGACGACGCAATTTGCCCTACTGATGTAAAAAGAAGGAAAAGGAACGTTATACTTGCCAGAGAAATATAATTCAACGAATATTCAACGATTAATGTTATCCAAACAATTGTGGCGTTGTTATTGTACGATATTGCACGATATTGCGTCTTCGAATTGCTACGTAGTCGTTTATTCTCGTCTATAATTTTTATTAAGAACAGCTCGTCGAGGATAATTAGCGATTAAAACTACATTCCAAACGACTGACTTCAGTATTATCGCGCACCTTGCCTGTTCGCTGATGAGAACTTGCGATATCGTCAAGTCACGAACTCACCGATTGATATCGGGCCGATTGATCTGTCAGTGCGAGCAAAATTGCATCAAAGCACTTTGGAATGCTTAATTAATCCTATGACGCTAGTTGTCCTAGAGAAATATATATAACACTAAACTGGCCGTCTCTTCTTGATCGATTCTTGATCATTGTTCGACTTATAACTTTGATATGCGAAAACAGGTATAGAAAATATCTTGGAATTAGCGATGGGCAAACGTTTATTTTACGAATATTTTTTACGTATCCTTTAGATACGAGGATATTTTGAAAACTTTGATAATGGAGGGTATATAAAAATGACCAAAATTTGCCCCGAGCCGAAACCAAGTAAACTAATTCCACAATGTTTTTTGGTGTACGTGAAAGAGAAAAATAACATATATATAATGCTGCGAAAATTGCTGAATAAAATATATATACTGATTACATGCGTGATATTGTGTTTCAGTTTTCTTTATTTCTACATGATCAGACGTTTCCCAAGTACTACTGTGTAAGGCACCTCGGTTGGTTAGCGATAAAATGTTATTGGCACCTGCAATTCTTTACTCGTCAAGATGTCCATAAAAATGAAATATCTTCAGTGCGTCTTCTCCAGTGCGTCAGTTACACTGATATTTTTTTTCTACTATTTGTCGCACTTATGAAAATATACATTCGTTCAAGCGAGCCGCATAAATTCATACCACGGTGTACTATGAAAATCGGAGTCTCCCCAAACCGTTGGCTTCTCGTCCGTTCCGCTGTGCGTTATAACTGCGCTATTCGGGGGATGTCGTGTAATACAATACTGCACATCGTATGTCTCTGCGGAAAAAGCTAATACAACGTATTGAATAATACAGAAATGTTACCATTTGTCGCGCGCTTCATCGAAACATTCGTCTTAGTAATGGATGTAGCACACCCGGTCGACTTATAGAATTTCTATTTGGAAGGTCACACAAACAATTATTACGTTATATTTATATTATATATTAATATTTCTTGCAATATATGTATGTATATCTATACACACACGGGGTTTAATTTCAATCTCTATTTGCTTTAATTGCCTTAATGTCTTTGATTTACTCACCACTTTCTGTCGTTTAGTTCTATAGCGCTACTAAACTTCTTAAAGCCAATAAAGCATTTGTACGCCAATCTTAATTTTTTTACTTTATTATCGCGATTAAAGTTCACACATCAATTGGAATAAAATGTTGTAATTTAATAAGATCGCCTTAAAGGACAATTTTTTGTCCGAATAAAATTGAGAAGTACGCTTTTCTGAATATACATAATTATATTAATTGAATGTTTAAGATATAAAAATGAGAAAATATTACAACTCTTTTATTTAAAATATATATTCATTTTCTTCCGCTTGTTTATAACATAGTTGTTGAAGAACATCTGACAAAGTTTTCACAAATAGAATATACGTTTTTTCACAAATAACATTATATATAAATCCGCGCTTCGACGATTACATACGGTTGCACATGTTGGTATTCAGCAGGAAATACACTATTTCATGGACTACGAACACAACTTCATTTAGGATGGATCGGTAATATTGGGTTGGCAAATAAGTTCGTTCGGTTTTTTAATCGGAGTAGGTTTACTCGTTCTGCTCTCTTTTTCTCAGCGCTATCGCACAACGCGCTTGCGCAGCTGAAAAGCGACGTTCCACCTAACCTATTCGTAAACATACGCCGGTTAAATACCAGAGTTGAGCGTACTGCACGGTTGCAAATATGGAAGAAAAGAACGTCCATTTTCGCCATATTTTTAATTTCCTTATTCACCGGCACCCTCTGATTATCATTTGTTCCGGTCGCTGCAAAATTTTCTGAATGGGAAAAACTTTGCTAATAATGAAGCTGTTAAAACGCAACTGGATCAGTTTTTTGCCGGTAAACCTCAGACGTTTTATGAATGTGGGATTATGAAATTGGTAAAAAGATGGCAAGAAGTCATAGAAAAGAATGGTCAATACATTATTGATTAGTATATATTTTGTATATTAAATAAATTGTATTTTATACCAGTCAAAAAAACCGAACGAACTTATTTGCCAACCCAATATTATATCGACGGAATCATTACCATATCAACAGACGAAATTGGAGAAAGTATATTATTATATACACTGAGCCTTAAAGGATTAAAAACGTATTTTAGTTCATTAAGAAGCAAAATTCTTCGATAAAGTCTGAAATTATATTGTTTTATTGTTGCAAACTATTAAAAATTATTAAAGAAAGAGAAAATGAATGATAACGTACACAATGACAGTATTTATAACTCTAAGCTTATATTTGTGCTGCAGACTTTATTCTAGATTGCAAAAATATACTATCATAATTTGAAAAACATTTCCATGCACACGTTCATATGATCTTTCATCAACACTCTTGTGAAACATTCTTCAAGTTTGACTGCTTGCTTCAAACTTGACTTGTATACGCATACGTTCGAGCTGATTACATATCACATGTACGCGGCGTGGTTCGCGCATTCCCTCGGGTCAATTAAGATGTCTCGTGGTTATTCCATCATTCCCGAGGCAGGGGCAATAAACGTTGTGCAATTCAACATGGACGTTCGTTCATCTATTTTCGTTACTCCTCACGAGAGAGAGAGAGAGAGAGAGAGAGAGAGAGAGAGAGAGAGAGAGAGCGTCGCTAAAAGGCAGCCGTAGTCCTCAATTAATACGTCTATTTGTCGTTGCCTATCGAAGAAGGCACCAATTAATCTCGGCGGCGAATAGAGCGCACGATTTTTGCATCGACCGATTCTGATTGAACCAGCCGATTCATTTCTTGCGTCATGACAATTTTTTTCTTTCGGAATTCTCTAACTTTTATGTTTGACTTAAAAGTTTTGGCAACCGTTTTAATGTAAAGAAGTTAATTAGAGGTCAAATAATTTTTATTAAATAAATCTTAATAAATTTTAATTAAAATTACTTCAACGAATGATATTATAATAAATGTTACAATAAAAAAATAATAAATACATTAATAGTACTTTCCAAGATATTTTACAATTTATCCTGATTTTTCTCACTATATGATATGAAAAGTACTCACTTTTTAATAATCTCATTTTAAGATTGTTACGTAGAATGACGGCCGGAATCGATTACTATAAAGATATAAAGGATTTAAAAAATAATTCGTTGCATTTCCCAAATGCACTAATGTGCAATATTAATATCATTAAACGATTTCTCATATTTTATTTACGTACAAGAGTATTAAAGCGAAGTTATCGAATATTTTAGGAGATATTTCACGTATTGTAAAGAATTAAGATAAATTGTAAATATTTTGGAAAATATTTATAAATATATTGTATTCATATTATCGACGATCTTAATACTTTTATACACAAGGTGACAAAGAGAATCGATATATGCTACAAAAACTACATAATTCGGCTTAGAATCATAATGACCTTAATATGACCTTGATACGTTTATCCAAGAAATGTCCTTATATTTTTCCCCTTTTGAACCAAACAACTTTTAAATATTTTTTGCTATGATGCGTACTTTCAGAGAAAACAGTTTTGTAACACTTTGAGTGACCTACTCTGTATGTAGGATGTATATGTAGGATGTTGATCCCCAATTTCATAAACTTACAACGTATTAATTATTTATTTTTTCTTTTTTATTTCAGATTCTACTGGGACCTCTGCATGCTCCTCCTATTGGTAGCTAATCTGATAATTCTGCCAGTCGCCATTAGTTTTTTCAATGACGACCTAAGCACTAGATGGATAGCTTTCAACTGCCTTTCGGACACGATATTTCTTGTAGACATCGTCGTCAACTTCAGGACGGGTAAGCGACTTATGCGACTGATTTGCTACGGAACTCGTGTCACTTTCCTAAATGCCAAACGCAATGTTATATGTACACGGAAAAAACAGTCTGGTTGGTCGACGTAGCGAAATCGGGTAGCGCCAACCAGATTTAAATTAATAAAATATGGAATAACTAATTAATGTGTGATTGCTGCAATCATAGTGTGCAATTCGACGTGTTGGCGCCGCGTCTCTTGAGGATTTGTATCCGACGTTTCGTGAGCAATCTGAAATTATTTGTACCTAAATAACATGATCGGGCTAGTTTTTAGTCCATCGTCCCTGTCACCGGGATATTTGTGGATCTCTATGGATTTTCTATACTTTCTAGGAAAATATGCGCTGGCCAGAGCTATTGTTTGGCCGAATAGGATCTTGTTTCCATATGGTATTCCGTTAACACTGTTTGCGTCATATGCTGGAGTTTAACTGCCGATTGATATTCTCTTATACGTGTGCTGACACCACCCTACCGGTTTCATTTATGTAAACCTTGTTAGTATAGGATTTTGTAAATTTCTTGTGTGTTTGGGGGGTAATTTGTTTGCTGCTATGAAATACTCAGGTTGCATTTAGAAACACTCTTTGATGTGCTTTTGTAACTTTAGTCATTGAAAGTATAACCTAATACAGCCTGAAAGAAACGACAAAAGTAACGGTTATATTAGTTAGCGTTGCTCAAAAATGTAACTTCGTTACTATTATCACCGAAAGAAACGTCGTCACCAAGTTATTACTGGAGAAAAATAACTTTTCAATCCTGGATACTTCTAACTCTTCAACATGTCCTGGGGATTAATTCGAAATGTGTTTGAGTCGGTCTCGCGAAAATGAGCTGTGGCCGGTGAGAATCATCGTACTATATCGTGCGATGGTCACGAATTTTTTTATTCATTATTCTCTCTGTTCGCGCGAACGATAATTTCTCAAATAATTGCTCCCTTTCTCATTTTCTTTAAAATTGATTTATCAATTATACCGGTCGGAATGCTCCTCCCAAATTGTTCACGTTATTATCAATAATATGTCCCGCGCGTTATGCACGTATAATGGACGTATCGATGCGTACGTTGCTACGTGACAAAATGTCGAGTTGCCAAAGCGTAAGGCAATAAAATTTATGTTTTTCTTGCGATGTAAATTTCGGAGAATCATTGACACAGCGTGAATGTTGCTGTCTTTCGTTACAGGTATAATGCAGCAAGATAATGCCGAACAAGTGATACTGGATCCGAAGTTAATCGCAAAACACTACCTAAGGACTTGGTTCTTTCTCGACCTCATCTCCTCCATACCGTTAGACTACATTTTCCTTATATTTAATCAAGTAAGTACACATCCTATATTGTATAGCTTTTTAATGCGACCTTACGCGCTACTGTATCTTATTTAGTAAGTTACACAATCTTACTAAGTTTCTGAACGAGAAAGAGAACACCATATTTGGAACAAAATCATATTTATTTTTCAATATAATTTCCTTTGAGATTGATGTATTTAGTTCAAAAAATATTTCAAGACTTTTCATTTTTTCGAGTAAAGTAAGATTTGTCTAAACTCTCGAAATATCCATCTGCGCAATATTTCGATTTTTTCCATTACGATTCCGAAGAAGTTGTTTATTTTGGTTGACTGTCATAGCTTTACTATATACGCCATTTGTTTGAAAATTTTACGATAGTCGATAGTACGATAGTTACGATAGATTTGAAAGACAGTTTTTTCATGGCAATGGCATGTGCTTATAGCTTTTGAAACTTTCTGATCTACTCTCGTATATCTCGGGGAAATTCGTTGAAACAACTCTTTAGTTACTAGCCGAACATCGAGTTAACATATTTACGTGGTGAGTTCTGGTAATTGGTCTGAATTTTTTTTAAGGAAAATGCAAAAAAGTGTGTGAAAAAAATTTCATGTCGCCATCGTCTCTTGACAAAAGAAAACACGGTCATAAGGAAGAATTTATTAAACATATTTCCCATTCCTCCGTTTTCTTCTCTCTGTATTTAAAAGAGCTATACTATACTATCGCATTGTACGATCAAGTTTATTGTAGAAGTTTATTGGATGCATCGTAAAGCATATTTCTTGACGGGATAAATGCGTTTAATTTTATAGTGGTAAGGAGGTAAATTCGAGATGACACGAAATAATAGAAAGCGTAACAAAATTTTTAAATATGCTTCAAATTTTTTTGTTTATTTTATCCTTGATGCAACGTTTATAGGAACGTAAAATTTGAGATCTTAAAATAGAAAAAAAGATTCATAATGTGTGCGAAAGATTAGAAAAAAATTAGAAGAACTTGAAAAATATGATCAATCAAATAAACATAGAACATTTGCAAATAAAAATGTAAAAATACAATCGAAAAAGAAGTTGCAAATTCAGATAAATAACAAAAGTTTAAATAACAAAGAACATTGTCGAATGTGGAACTTATGGTTTTCATTTTGTCAAAATTATCTCAAATTAATATTTGCGCTCGTTCGTGTACTCATTCTTACGATCGCTTATGAAAGAAGAAATGAAAAGTAAATGTTAAATATACACTGCAACGACGAATGGTAATAATGAGAGGAAATATTTGCAGTTTCAGGATTTCAGCGAATCTTTCCAGATCCTACACGCTGGACGTGCTCTCAGGATTCTTAGGCTTGCAAAACTGTTGTCACTCGTTAGATTACTACGCTTGTCAAGACTGGTGCGGTATGTCTCGCAATGGGAAGAAGTCTATGTGAGTGTTCCGCTACTTAGTATGTACAGCGCTGTTCTCATTTTATATATATATATATATATATATNTGTAATCCACGTACAAAGTTGAGACGAGGCGTTTGGTGACCTTTAATGATTCAAGAAGCTGACGAGCGATTTTCCTCCCACGAAACGTTACTTTACCTGCTAACAACGAGGTTCAATGAGCGTTAATTAATGTCGATTGTCAGTTTTTTTTGGATCTATCAATTGCAGAGACCGCCTTCGCCGCATTTACGTGGGGTATTAAATAATTACGTCTTTGCCCGCTTTACGGCCACAGTAGAGAGAATTTGAGGTAAAGGGAACGATTCAGCAGTCTGCTTGTATATTTTGTCTTTAACGTATAAATTATACTACTTGGAAGCAGGTCATTCGTTGAGTTACAAGCTTAATAGGTTCTCGCGTCAGTGGTGGATTTTGTTCCGCAGGTATCCTCAATCATAAAATATTCTTCGAATTGACGTTCTCAAACGAAAATATCATTCTCTCTATATGCTTCTATGAAGTTTTCTTTTGTTCATTGCAAGAATTTCATCGATAAATATACAAAAGAAAAAAAAACGCACGAATATATGTGTAAATATGTATATACAGAAGGTTCACCGTAAAGTGATTTTTAAATTATTTACAATAATTTGACAGATAATATAGCTATAGACGAAATTAAACGGTTTTTAAAAGAGACACTAAGTTACAATAATAAACATTTCTAAAGCATTATTTCCCCTTAAAGTAGTTAAGTCACTTTGCTATTTTTAATAAGATTGTATTACCTTTCTACTTGCTCGTTCAAAAATTTTTAACGTAACAGTTTTCAAGCAGAAATTTGCTCGATCACGCTTGTATTAGATAAATTGTGCATGTAACTTTACGTTTTTGATCAATCGATTTTTTTCGAATTCAGCGCAAATTGTTTGGCCAACGTTGGCAGACGGTTAGCCAATTAATTTGTACTACTCAGGGCATAGAAATATTGAGATTAAATAAATGAAAAATGAGTAATTTTCGAGATTATATCGAAATGTTAATGATTTGAACGTACTTTTTTCACCTCTAAGATTATTTTAAGAAAGAAAGAATGTTTGGAGTTTTTACTATCGTATGTTGTTTGAAAAAACTGATCAATTTCATCTGGAACTCTGCTCAATGATTATAAATCCTTGAAAATTCGTTACGATGAATACATGTATATATACAGATTTATACATATATTTTCTAGGTATGTAAGTAGCGAAAGTAGGATACATTTTTTGACAAAATTATTTTTTCAGCTTTGTTGCAAAAATCTCAGTCCACCACTGCGGGGAATCTTTCCGAATCAAGCTCTCCGATTATTATATTATGTTCCGTTTATGCTCTTATTGAACATTTAATAAATGTCTCTATAGCTCTACTCGACATACTCGGTGCCAAATTCCGAAGCTGCCATTTTACGACAAAGTCTATAATACTTTCGCTCCCGTTTTTATCTCTCGCATAACCTCTTCATCGCGAATTAAATTCAGCTATTGCTGCCTTACTCCCATCGAGTTTCGCGAGGAATCTGAACGGTCGTGACAAAAATTTTTCGTCATATAATAAGCAAGATAACGTGACGGAACGGAAATAGAGGGAAAAGTAACTTACACACACGCGCGCACACATACGCGCACGCACGCACGCACGCACACACACTAGCGCGCGCACGCACACATACATACACACATGCGCGCGCATACACACACACGATATATACATAAATAAATAATTACTGTGCTAAAGATGATTATAAAGAAACTTTCATGATACAAGTATTCACCTCGTCGTCTCGACGCACCGATAATCGTTCGTTATTACTCATATTTTATTTTTTGATTTTCGTTTTAAACCACATGTCGACTTTACGCACGTTGTAAACTTACAACGATCCATCGGCGGGTAAGTAATAACTGTTTTCTCAAACGAATGTACATAACAATCGATAATCGTAACGACACGTAAGTGTATTTTACTCAGTCCTATCGATCGGAGAGTTATTTCGAAGGAAACGAAAAAGATGTGAACAAAACGTGTGAGATATTAAACATTCGAAGAAGATCGTGTCCTCGAAACGAATTCCTTCAGAATTGCTCCGTGTCACTTGTTGCATCTCTTTATATTTTTTCTTTATACGAATATTTTCGAATATCGCATCGCATATTAGAGAAGAATTGCGAGAAAGCAGATCTGATGACGACGGAAGTACGGTTTTCGCGCGCACGATACATATCTCTTGCTAGATTTGTTAATGTACGGCGAATAAATCACGAGTACATTAATCGTTTGCGCGAGTAATTTTGGCTTGAGAAATTGTTGTCACCTTCCGGTGCTTCGCGACACATGGGCGATTGCAACGTTCTGCGAGATAACGTGGAATTTATGTCATCACTAGAACCGTTTTTGCGGCGAAGCGAAGAGACCAACGAATCAATCAGACTTTTCATCCAATCGAGAGAGGAGCAATCTTTCGCATTGAAATTTTGTTACGCTTGCTTTGAAACATACTATTGCCTCCCTCTGCTTTCTCCCTCTCTGTTCTGTTCTGTTATATAAACCAAATACTTCGAGAATGTGTGTATGGAGGAAAGCTTCATTCCGAGCACAGTATACACAGGCTGTTTCTTAAGAATTGTCTGATATTTTAGAAGATAAGTTTTGAAGTCACTTCATAACAAAAAGTTCATATGAGCATATGGTATTTGTTTGTGAGGGAAGGAGACAGAGACATTGTGTAAAAATTCGATAAAATTATCGTTTTCTCTCAATATCTCACAAAAATCTGTCGTCTTTATCGAAATCTGCCAAACGTACCTTTCTTGTAAGTCATTAATGAAATAATAATAATCTGCAAAGTATTTGATTTCGTCCATTGTCGTTTGAGCAGCAATATAACCATCCAAGTCCTATTTTTACGCCATTGATTTTTTACGGCGATTAAAGAAAAGGCACTCTGCTTATTTTTACTGGCCCGAGATTGAAAAAGAAAACTCTTTTTGTTTAAGGAAAACGATAATCTTGAGGATTTTTTTTGAAAAATGAAGAATAATGATCATTTTATAGAATTTCTTCAACATCCTTCATCTCTAAAACGAGGCTTTTGAGACGACATGTTCATGTGAACTTTTTTTTTATAAAATTCTTTATAAAATCTCAAAAGTAATCTCCTGAAATATTGAACGATACTTAAGGAACGTATATTAATTATACGTGCGGATATTATTAATAATATTATTATTATTATTATTATTATTATTATTATTATTATCGGTATTGCTCGAACATATTATGATTTCTGTCCATGTAGAAGAACGGAAAGGATTGATGCCGAGACGCAGGATAATAATGATAGTCAAATACGACTTTCGAAAATCGTTATTTTTCAAATATTTCGATTCCTTTTCCTCGTCGAATTCATCGTAGACGATTCTCATCGTAGATAAAGCTTCATTTAGTTTAAGGTGGGACTTCTTCTTTTTTAAATCAACAGATTGCCCCAATCGACGTACCATCTTCGAGTCTCGATAAAGGGAAATTGATGAGACAATAGCGGTGATTTTAAAAATGCAAACAACGAGGAAAATAATAACGCGTATTTATTTTTTTTCTCCTTTTTATTGGCCGCATGTTATACAATTCCATATTCTCGCAATACCTCTGCAATCCCTAGTAGCACTATTCATTGGTGATGCATTGGTCCAATATTGATTATATTGGCATTTATTGGGAGTATATTGGATGAATGATTATTGGGTGAACAGATTAATCCATTATCATGTTCTGCTAGCAAATCCTATTATATTTCTGCTAGCAGGCTGTCGACAAAATTTATAGCAGATATTGTAAAATCTGCTTTTGTAGATTTGGCTGTTTTTACATTCATCCAATGTACCCCCCATTGAATGTTAATATAATCAATATTAGACCAATGTATCGACAATGAATTGACAATGCTACTAGGGATGCAATTTGTAAGGTTATGACGTTGTAGCAATATAGCTTAAAGATTCTGTGCTATACGAAATCTCGCGAGGAGTTCGTCGTGTCGTTGAAAAATATTTACTCAATCCTTATAAGTGATCGCGAATGAGCGAAACAATGATGATCTTTCCTATTTTCCTGTGTACGTAACAAATGTTTTGCCACATGCCATTGCGCATATTGATGCGTGCGCGCGCACACACGAACACGATACACGAAAAAGAAAAAAAAAGATAGAAAGAAATACATACCTACGTTAAAGCGCGTATATATTTATATATATGTAATATATATAATACATACATAAGTTCTTCGCATTTTTCTCTCCCTCGATATAAACATAAAAAGAAAACGATATGTAGGATGTCCAGTAAATCGTAACAAAGTCAACGAGGAAACGATTTATCGTGAATAAATGAGTCGAGAATACGGGTTTAATGTTTTTTTTATCACAAGACATTTCGTTCTAGAGAATATCAATTTTAAAAATCGATAAATTAGTAATACTTTTATACTTTTCTTACGTCTCCTTGATCTTCAACAAATTCGTGTTCTTTCGTCGAATTAGTCTGGACGGTCGTTAACAACATATGCTGTCGAAAAGAGAGAAAAAAAAGGATGTCGTATAATATGGTACATATAATTTCGATGCTTCAGATCATGATACTTCTTATACGTCAATAGCTGCCGTCATGACGACGGCAAATCTCAGTTAAATAACATGTAACCAAATTAAGTTAACAAAATTTTCCGAATATCAACATCTATACTTAAAAAGAACTCGAAGATATTACGAAATGCTACGTTGTCAGGTGCAATTTCTTCGGAAGCGAAGTCTTACGAACTCCGCCGACGAGTCCGCGTTTTCGCTTCATTCTTCTTTACGATGAATCGTCTTATCGCCGATTTTACTACGATTTACCGGACAGTCTGTGTACAAATGGACTACTAGGCGTACTGCGAGAACACGTTTCCGAATGGG